TAGTTCCTGCCTGAGATCAGCACAGTTCAGCATGGAGCAAGCCACTCCTGCCTCAGAGTCATTTGGTGCTTCTGAGCTGAGCACAGTTCCAGGCACACAGCAGTTCACATTGGAGCCGCAATCAGCAGTTTAACTCTGAGACTGAGTGTGCAGCACAGAAACTCTTTTCATCCAAGTTACAGCCAAATCTGACAGGCAGACAGAAAAAGGGGAAATGATGTGGGAGTGATTTCTTGTTAATAAAGAAACTGCCTTGGCCCATTTTATTGGATAGAAAATTAGGTAGGCGGAGTAGACAGAGGAGAATGCTGGGAAAAAGAAGCTGTGTGAGGAGTCGCCATGGTTCTCCCGCTCCAGACAGACGCAGGTTAAGATCCTCCCTGGTAAGCCAGCTCGTGGGCTACACAGAATATTAGAAATGGGTTAGAACAATATGTAAGAGCTAGCCATAAGGAACTGGAACTATCCGGGCCAGGCAGTGTTTGAAAGAATACAGTTTCCGTGTAATTATTTCTGGGCATAAGCTAGCCATGCGGGCGGCCGGGTGCCGGGGACGCAGCCCTGCCGCCGTCCCTATTTCAACAATGAGGGGTATGTCTCCAGTGGTGGGGGAGGCATATAGCAGGCTCTTGGAACAGGAAGCAAAAAGGTGATGTTTTCCATTACAAACAAGGTGCAGATAGTGAACAGGAAATAGGGCAAGGCTGTAAACTCCCAAAGCCTGCCCCAAAATAGCTCCACCAATAGGGAACCAAGTATTTAAATTCCTCGGCCTCTAGGGGACAGTTCTCATTCAAGGGACCAGGAAATGTCCACACTTGTCCAGCAGGCAGGAAACTCTGGACTCTACCCCTATATTCTGGGCACTTCATAAAAACCATGCATGGGTGCCCGTAACCCGTATGATAGAGTCAGGGAAATAAGCAGTTCATGTCACTCTTAGCTAAATGCTGAGTGTGATGTCAGCCTGAGACACAGGAGACCCTGGCACAAAGGGAAAAGTGTGTGTGAGTAGGGAGCGAGGGAGGACAATAGGTAAACAAAAGGTAGCTGCTCGCAATCCTAGGGTGAAAGCCTGGGACAGACCCTCCCCTCCCTGGCCTCGAAAGAAACCCATCTCACCAATGTTATGAGCTTGGATTTCTGTCTTGTAGAACTGTGAGACAGTGTGGAATACAGCTAACGATACTCTGCTATGGCAGTTGTGGCAAAATAATATATGATGTTTAGTTTAGTGGCAGAGGAAGGCATCATGGTCTTCATATGTACCGTGGGTAGCTATTCCACCGCTGTGCTCCCTTAAGGCCCATTCTTTTGTGTTTGGTTCTTTCTTTTATTTCTTCCTTAAAAAAAAAAAAAAAAGATTAAGGGGCTTTAGAAGGATGGGGCAGTGGTTAAGAGCACTGACAGCTCTCGTGGAGGACCTGGGTTTGATTCCTAGTACCTACATGGCAGCCCCTCTATAACTCAGACCACCTAGGGGATCCATGGCCACGTTCTGGCCTCTGCAGATACCAAGCATACACACGGTTCACAGACCTACATGTAATGTCCAAATCTGCTGGTCTTTACTGACTGTCTTTCTAGATAATCTTTCCATTGTGAAGAGTGAGGCATTGACATCGTCTACTGTTATTGTAGCCTGCCTACTTCTCAGCACTGTGCTGTTAATGCTTGCTTTGCATATTTGGATGTTCTGGTGCTATGTGAACATGTATTTATAACTGGAAGGTTCTCTTGGTTCATCGGTCCCTATATTGTGTGTTGATTTAGGTTTTTATTTATTTTGTTTGTTTGTTTGTTTGTTTTGTTTTTGAAATAGGGTCCTGCTATATAGCTCTAGCTGGCCGGACCTTTCTATGTAGACCAGGCTTGTCCTGTGGCAACCCTCCTCTTGCTGCCTCTGTGAAAGCTGGGATTATAGTTATGCACTGCCGTGACTTCCTCTGACAGTTTTGACAGTCTAATTTTTGTCATGATAAGTATAGTCACAGTGTTCTGGAATATTCCTTTACAGGGTGTGCAGATATTTCACTGTGACAGGTGTAATAAAAGGCTAAACTGCCAATAGCCTGGAAGGATTTGGGGGGCAGAGAGAATACTGGGAAGAAGGAGAGTCACAAGTGGACTAGAGGCACAGACATGCAAGAAGAGAGGTAAAGGTCATGAGTCACATGGCAACACGTAGATGAATAGAAATGGGTTCATTTAGGTTTTAAGAGCAAGTTAGAAGCAAGCCTAAACTATGGGCTGAGCTTTCATAATTAATAAGAAGTCTCATGTGGTTATCTGGGAGCTGACTGGCAGGACAGAAAGCCTACCTACATCACATCTGTTGTCTTTGTGATGTATTTTACATAAGATAACTTTGTCTGTTCTTTCGCCTTCCATCTATGGATATTCTTATTATAAAGTTGGTCCCTTATATGCAACACATGGTTAGTTCTCGGTTTTAGGTCTATTCTCACATGCTGTTTCTTTAGATTAGAGAATTTAATCAATTTATAGTCACAGTAATTACTGATAGGTTAGGGATTACATTGCCATTTTGTTAATGGTTTTCTGAATGTTTCTGAATGTTTTGTAGGTTCTTCTTAAAGGTTTTATTTCTTGCTGTTTTTTTAACGTAATAATTTTTGTAGTAGTGTTTTTGGTTTTTTTTAATTATTTATTTACTTTTTGTGTATTTACTAATTTTTTTTTCTTTGCTTTTTGGAGATCTCATCTAGGCTGGCCTCAAACTTCCTATGTAGCCAAGAATGACTTTGAACATCTGATCCTCTTGCCTTACACCAAGTTATTTTTTTTTTTTTGGTGGTTACAATGAGACTTGGGGGGATATAACTTCTATTTATATTATTATTAATATTGTTTTATTATTAATGTCATAATTTACTTCTTTGCATATTGTACACCTTTAGCAAATTTATAGCTTTAGCTATCTTTAGGTCACTTTGCCATCCTTACACTTTCAGGGTTTTTTAATATGACTATATTCTTTTCAGTGACCCTCACACAGTCATTGGTTTTCATGTTGCTAGTTTCTCTCACATCAATATGGAGGATTCCCTTTAAACTTCTCTCACAGAGTTTAATAGTGGTGAGCTCCCACAGATTTTGTTTGGTTCAGTATGTTTTATTCTCTTTAAAGGACAGCCTTGTACGGCATAGTACTGTGGACACCAGGTTTTTCCTCACACCGTTCTGCTGTCTCCTGACCTGAAAATTTTCTGCTGGAAAGTCTGCTGGTAGTTTAAAGAATTTTCTTTTTGTGGTGAATTACAATTCCCTTGATACTTTCATCCCTTCTGTTTCAGCCACCAAGATGTAAATGTGGCCCTTTTCTGGTCACTTCATGTTAAGCTACTTGCCTGTGGGGTGGTTTGGGGGGTTTCTTTCCTGAAGTAAGTATAGGCTTGCTAGAAGCCATTCTTACTTACCATTTGGTCTGATAAAATGAACTCTACTAGAAGCAATATGCTATTTTCCCCCACAGACTTTTTCTCACTATTGATACAAACCAGTTACAGAAAAACAATAAGCTTGTTATCAGTAGGCAGAAGGAAACAATAAAAATCAAAACATGGAGGAGTGATGCCGAAAATGAAAGAACAATAGAAAAGTTCATAGAGACCATAAGATCATTTCCTGTAAAGATGACAGATCCTTCCCTAAACTAGAAAAAAGGCAACCCTTAAAAAGATACAGTAAAAATTAAAGACACAGTAATACAGTCAGTTTTACAGCAGAAGAACAAAGGATGGTGAGGCTGCAATGAAGAATTACATCAACAAGGCATAATCAGAAAGAATGAATACTCCCTAGAAAACATATCACTGGTTTATACTGAATTACAAGGAACCATGGTGTATGAACAAATTACCAGTGTCAAAGGAAATTAAATCCTCGATCCAAAGCTTCTCAATAATTAAAAAGCCTAGGACCTGATAGTACATTCTATCAAACATTTAAAGGAGAATTAATATCAGTCCTTACACTTTCCCAGAAACTTGGTGAGGGCAACATTTCCAAGCTGATTTGGTAAGGCCAACATTGCCATGAAACAGAAGCTAGATGAAGACTCTCGAGAAAATGATGGGCCACTATCCCTGATAACCATGGAAACATCCTCAGTAAAAATCTTCACAGCAGTTTCAACAACCTATTCATGAGGCCAGACATCATGATCAGGAAGAGGTGTTAGGGTGGGCATGCTGCCTTCTGTGCCTCTGATCTTAGCAGGTGACAGGAGGAAGAGCTGAAGTTCAAGGTCTTTCTCAGTTAACTACGTTAATACTTAAGGCTAGCTTGACTCACGTGAGACCTTTTCACAAACAAACAAACATGCCCACAAATACAGTTTTCTTCGTTTGGGGGAAAATGTTGAGCAGAAATTATATTGTAAGGAGAAAATGAACATACATTTTGTTGGGTTTGCCTAACACTAGAATTTTTTTTTTTATTATATTGACAGGATACAAGGCTAAATGGCAGGCTGATTTAATACTACTATATAATGATTATATAGTAATTCTAAACTCTCAGTCACAGGAAGAAAATAGCAATAGAAAAGAGCGTTTGCCTAGTGTGTGCAAAGCCCTGGGTTTGGTCCACGGCGGGGCATGAACTAGGTGCGATGGCGCATGCCTTTAATCCCAACACAAGAGGATCATAAATTCAAGGTTATCCTCAGAAACAAGGTGAGTCCCAAGGCAGATGACAATGACCCAATTTGAGAAAAGTGGCAACAGTATAAGTTGTAACCATAAAGCTGCTGTTTCACCTACATTATTTTCATTGTTACCACACTAGCAAGCCAAAGAAATTTCTGTTGCTGTAAAGTTATATTAAATTAAATGACAGTTTGGAAATAAAGAGAAAACACTAGATTTTCTCTAAAAGACAAATAATTCAGGCATGAATAAGACTGCGGATAGAAAATACCCATGAGTATCCTAAATCAATCTGTGCTTATTTTTTTATTTGTATTTTGTTGGCAGGGAGTTGCCATAGAAAAATAAATCTTCTGGAAAGAATCTGTGTAAGTGAGTCTCACATGTGGTTTCAAGCAAAAAGTCCCACTGTCAGGTATGGTGAAAGAAAACCACTGTAATGCCCATGCCTTCCCCAGACTGAAAACCTCTTTCCTGGCTGACAGACTGATAGCTTCAGGCCAACTTTCCTCATTTGCTGTCCAAGGTCTTCCCAAGTCTCAAGTGCCTGAGGTCAAACTCACTCGAAATAAAGGGAAAAGTTGGAGTTGCTGTCTGGCTCACCATCTAAGGAAACCAAGCAGAAAAACACAGGGGCTCAAAGAGTGGGAAGCAAAAATAGGAAGAGTTGATCAGCGTGCTGGCCCAGCTGCGTCAAGATTTAAAAAAAAAAAAAGCGTCTGGAAACAGGTGGCAAAGAGTAAAAATACCAGACGCACACGGGTTAATTAAGAATGACAGTAGCAGCTGGATAAGGAACGTGAGAGTGGAAGTGGAATTAAGCTTGGTTTCTGAAGCCGAGGAAGTTCCGAGTGACCCAACCGTGCAGTGAGCCCTACCTCAGTATGAGCCCTGTAGGGTGAGACCTGCCTTTCACTATTCCTCTTCCCTCTTTGACAGGCATTCCACAGCTTCCACCTTGGGCAATGCGGAGCCCATGAAGACCTAGGGCCAGCTTGGAAAACAGGAAGAGAGACTCAACATCTTCATTAGCACAAGAGAGCTGTTATGAAGAGGTCTGTCTTTACACAAAGTTCGTAGTGTTTTAATGTCATTTTCACATGAATGTTTTTACTCGCTGAAACTTCAGATCATTCACTTCTAGGAAAAGTTCCAAAGGAGTCCAACAGGCCTGGGTCTGTCACCAAATCAGCATCAGATATCAGCAGTTAGGTTTTGTGAACTTCTAGTTTATTGTTTTCTTCTTCTTCTTCCTCTTCTTCTTCTTCTTCTTCTTCTTCTTCTTCTTCTTCTTCTTCTTCTTCTTCTTCTTCTTCTTCTTCTTCTTCTTCTTCTTCTTCTTCTTCTTCTTCCTGCTCCTCCTCCTCCTCCTCCTCTTCTTCTTCTCCTCCTCCTCCTCTTCTTCTTCCTCTCCTCCTCCTTCTCTTCTTCTTCTCCTCCTTCTCTTCCTCCTCCTCCTTCTCCTCCTCCTCCTCTTCTTCTTCCTCTCCTCCTCCTTCTCTTCTTCTTCTCCTCCTTCTCTTCCTCCTCCTCCTCTTCTTCTTCCTCCTCATCCTCTTTCTCCTCCTCTCACTTCTCCTCCTCCTCCTCTTTCTCACCCTCCTCCTCTTCTTCATGGTTGAATCTGCCAGAATTTTCCAAAATACTTTAAAAACAGTAAGTTACTATATAGATGTTATATATTATTTAATGAACATTTTATTTTTTGCTTACAGCAATATGTACATTCTAGGGACCATCAGGGTTTTCAGTTTTAAAGAAAATAAAGAAAAAGAAAGACTTTTCCACTTGAAACTATCTTATTCTTAATATATCCAGTATAAGCCCTATTCTCTTTCTTCTGTCTGTGTGTGGAAGGCATGACTGCACACACAGTCAGCGGATCATTTCCTGTCCTGGCTACTGATTCTTCTAAAACCTTGGTCTTGGAAAAAGACCTAAAGGCATCTTTGTGTTATACTTCCTTGAGCAGAAATTTATCTAAAAAAAATATAGTGGAATTAAGTATCAAGGCCAGTTGATAGACAAAGAATTAAGTAAAATTATCAAAGAGTTCTTCAAGATAAAAAAGAAAATAGAAAATCCAAAGTAAATTTTAAGGCCCAGGAAACAGTAACTGTGAGCATAGACAGGATGACCTCTCCATAGTAGTATGTTTTGCTTATGGATTTCAACTAAGCCCCGATTGAAAGTATAATTTTTTAAGTATGTCTTTACTGATCATGTATAGATTTTCTCTTTGTCATTCATTATCATTATTATCACAATATTTTGCTTTTGTTTTTTTCAGGACAAGGTTTCTCTCTGTGTAACTCTGGCCATCCTGGAACTCGGTCTGTAGATCAGGCTGACTTCAAACTCAGAGATCTGCCTGCCTCTGTCTCCCGAGTGCTGGAATTAAAGGTGTGTGCCACCACCACCTGGCCCCATTGTTCTTTAAATGATATTTGACAGCAACTACTGGCAGAACATTTCCCTTGTTTGAGGAATTATAAATAATCTGAGCTAATTTAAAGAGAGGCTATGCAAGAACTATGTCTTTTTGAGTAAGAGCCCTGAGCACACACACAGTTTGGCATTCTTGGGTAGATGCTATGTATGGGAAGAATGTATCCATTATTGTGTCTTATTAATAAATAAGAATACTAAGTGTAAAGAAGTCAACGAGTGGAGAATGAATGAAGACCGCTCTTTTCTGTTTCAACATTTATTCTTTCTTTTCTGCTGTTTTCCCATTCATTAATTCTCTTGACACAGCCTATATGTGTAACCTCTGGCTGAGTGTGTCAGCTTTCCTCCTCCCACTCTACCAGAGACCATGATAACAATGGAAAAAGACAAGGGTTGCTGTAGCACGATTAATAAAAACCCAGAGGCAGATATTGGGGTTCAACCTAAGGGTCAAAGAAACAAAAAAGCCAAGCCACTACAGAGCTCTTACCTCTATGAAATTTTCAGACTGAAAAAGAGCAAGTTCCTGTCTCATCCTGCCTTATATTCCTCTCCAGTGCAGTGTTTAAAGGAGTGCACCCTCACCGCCTATGGCTAACAGTGTGACTGCTGTAGAGGTGTATGCCACCACTGCCTGGCCTGTATGGCTGACTACTGTGACTGTTTTGCATTCTGGTCTTCAGGCAAACTTTATTTTAAGCTTTATTTATTAAAATGCAAATGAAATATCACTCCAGGTTGCTCTGGCCCATGGTCTTGAAGATTCAAGTGCCTGATCAGTTGTCACTGTGGTTTTGGGACCTGCAGTCAGGCAGCATGTCAGAGCAGAAACACATGTCAGAACAGGGCCACTCGCCTATGGCTGGGAAGCAAAAGAAAGGAAAGAAGAGACAGACATCCCACAATTCCCTGTGATAGCATGCCCCCCAATGACCAGAGACCTCCCAGTAAATAGGTCTTATTTCTTATTTTTACCAGCTTCCCATAGTGCCGAACTGTGTTGTAGGAGCTGCGGGCCGCTTCCCGCCTCCCAGCTCCCAGCCACCGGCTATATTTATACCCGAAATAACAACACACAAGCTGTATTCATATAAACACTGCTTGGCCCATTTCTATTAATGTGTGTAGCACCATGAGGTGGTGACTTACCAGGGAGATTCTAGCCTACGCCCATCTTGGGTCAGAGCTTCATTGCATCTGCCCTGGAGAGCAGAGGCATGGCGTCTGGCTCACTTCCTCTTCCTCCCAGCATTCTGTTCTGTTTACTCCACCCACCTATGTTCTACCTATCAGGCCAAGGAGTTTCTTTATTAACCAATGATCTTACTCCATCAGAACTGAGTCAAGCCTTCAACACATGGGTCTTTGAAGACAGTCCAGATCCAAACTAAGGGTGTATTGATCTGACAATGGCTTGTTTGAAAGAATCGTCTTAGTTTGGGTGGATTACACATGCGCACCAAGGCTATGCATGCTAGCAGGTTACACGCCCCCAAGATCATTCATTAGTTCACACGGAGTCCTCCTGTGACACAGCGACGTGAGAGCCAGGGCAGCATCACTGACTTCCGCCTCCTTCTCTTCTCTCCTCAGTGCCGTCTCCTAACATTTCTTCCATTAGTCTTTTTGGGCTAATTTTGACAACAAAATGATGTCATACAACTCTGTCCATTGAGAGACCTCCTCATTAACACAATGGTAGTCATTGCACCTGATATCTCAGGGGATTTCTCCTGGACTCTTTGGCTAGGCCATCCATGATTTCTCACACTTCATGAAGTTCCTTCTCTTTCTCTTTTAAAGATTTCCTTTTAGTTAAAGTTATGAGTATGCTTGTGTGTCTGTGTGGAAGTGTGTGCATTTGAGTGCAATTGTCTGCCAAGGCTTTGGATCCCCTGGGGCTGGAGTTGCAGGTGGTTGTGATCTATTCCGTGTGCATGCTGAAAACTAAATGCATTTCTTCTTCACAAGCGGTATACATGCTTAACAACTGAGCTATCTCTTCCATGGCTTTTTTTTTTTTAAAAATATGCTTTCAATTGAGACAAAATTACATCCCTTTCCTCCCTCTAGCCACCTGCCTGCTATCCTCCCTTGAGCCTCTCCCATGTCTCCCCTCTTTTAAGTTGTAGCCTCTTTTTCTTTTATTATTATTGTTCACACATATAAGCATACATACACAAGTATATATATACACACACACAAACACACACAACCTGCTGAGCTTGATTTTATTGATGATAAGCACATGGTCTCAAAGCTGTCCACTCTAAGTTGGACAGCCAACAGGGGTTCCTGCCTGGGAGAGGATAATTCTCATTCTCCCGGCATTCATCAGTTGTTTATAGTTCTTTGTCTAGGGCCAGCACTGTGAAATCCTCCACCTTTCACATTACCACACCTGCTGATATTGCCATTGTTCCAGCCTTGTTTATATGGCCATTTCTAGTAGAGACTTTCACAGAAGACTTTCAGATATTACAATTTTCCAAGCACACGCACCCCTGTTCCAAGGTGTTCTCTTGAGCCATAGATGTAGGAGCTATAATATAGATACATCCACTGGGGTGGGATCCCAGCGATCTCTTAATTTCTGCACTGTGTCCAGTTCTCGTTTTCTGTGATGGTCTCCATTTGTTGTAGAGGCGCTGTTTTGATGAGGGGCTGCAGCTTCACTTGCCCGTCTGAATAAGGATAAGATTTAAATGCAGTAAGGAATTATGCCAGTCTAGCAAAATGATGGCACTAGAGTCTGGCCAAGTGTCCCTGACCTCACTAGCCCTGGGAAGCTAGCTAGGTTTCAGGTAACAGGCATGGTTTCCCTCCTGTTAAGTGGGCTTTAAGTACAATTAGAGAATAGTTGGTTGCCACTGACATAGAGTGCTACTTATTGTACCTTTGAGCAGTCTTATTGCCATAGGCCTTGGTTTCTTCTCAGGGCTTTAGGATGGGCCCCTATTGCTGTAGACACTGAACACTTAGGCACAGGGCTCAAATGACCTGAGCTGGAACTGACTTAAAGCCTCCTCCCTGCTGTCTAACTTCCACAGTTTCAAAAAATATTCATGCAAACTATCAAGGGAGGGAATCACTCAGTAGTCCTACCCAGGTGCAACACCTATGAACCATGAAATACCTGTACATATATATCTATACACACACATAAATAAATAAAGTATTAAAATAGATGTTAGCATTTAACTATTACTCAGATTAGCCAGTGGAACATAGTGAATGCCCAGAAACTTCTCAGTATCTTCTTCCAGCGAGTACCCACATGTAAACAAGAAATATCTATCTTCTATCACTATAAATTAATTTTTGATTGTAATTCATATTCATATAGTCTTTTTTGTAGGGACATTATTTTAGATTGTATCTGAGTTCTTTTATTTTTTTGTGAGACACAAGTTGTAGCTAGCATCATATTTTTCTTTTTATCATTATGAAGTATCATATTGTATGCATATGCAATTATTTATATATTCTACTGTTGGTAGACATCTAGATGGACTTTCCCGTCAAGAAACTGTGCATGCAGCTGTCATTTGTGAAATTTTCTGTTTATTTCCTTAGGTGGAAGGTGACATATTTTTATCACAATGGGTCAAATTGTAAAATGTTTTTCATTTCTGCATTGTATATGGTCTCTTTAACATTTACCCGATATCGTTGCTTTAAAACGTATCATTAGATAATATGTAAACAAATAGTGTGTCTCAATAAAACTTTATAGAGAGCAGAGTTGAGCTGCAGAGCTGAGCTTGCTGTAGTCACTTTACCTGACACTTAGAAAATGCTGGATGTTGTGATGGTTGTGTATTTGCTAGTTGCCCAAAAATTTGTGCCGCTCCATTTTTCCACCCGCAAGGAATGAGAATTCTCCATCTTCACCTCTACAAACAGAAAATGCTGCACTTCTTCCCGTTTAGATATTAGCATTATGGAGGCTGGAGAGAGGCTCAGAGGTTAAAAGCACTGATTGCTCTCCCAGCACCCACATGGCAGCCCACAACTGTCTACATCTTCAGTTCCAGGAGACACAGCACCCTGACACATACATAACATGTAGGCAAAACACCAATGCACATAAAATGAAAATGAAGAAAGGAAGGAAGGAAGGCAGGAAGGAGGGAAGGAAGAAGGAAAAGAAAATCTACTTCTGAATTTATTAGTACCGTAAATATATTAAATTAAAAAAAGAAAAAAATAACATCATTATTGCTATAGTAGTAGGATATTTTACTTTGTCTTCTCTAGGAAGCCAGGGTGGCAATGGCCTGTCATTACTGCCTGCAGTTCTTGCAGCAGGAATACGGATGACTTCTCATTGTGCTTTCCTGTCCCTTTAACTTGACACAGGGGAGTAGCATGGGGTTGGCAGGTGGGAGACCCAAGCCGAGTGGTTCTAAACTTAGTGTTGCCACTTTTCCTTTTAGACTATTGTTTATCTGTGTGTGTATGCATCTGTGAGTCCAGGAGTGAGAGCCTGTGGACACCGGGCGGAGACGCTGATTGTCGAGAGAGAGAGTTACAGGCCATTGGGGACTGCCTGCCACGGTGCTGGGAGTCAAACTTCCATCCTCCTCTGGAAGAGCAGCAAGCACACTTACCCACTGAGCCATGTCTCTAGTCTCTGTGATCATTTTTGTACCTCACTTCTTAATCTGTGGAAAGGAATGAACAACATCTGCCCTGGGCATTTCTCTGGGTGTTTGTAAGAACAAATAAAGCTATGGAAATACAGAAATTTAGAAAGCGGTGATTGGCATTTAGAAGCTGCAAATGTCATGTTCTAAAGAAGCATGTATGTGAGACATTAACAGGAAGATAAAACCGCCAAGGTAGACCATATTTTGCCTACAGAATGTAACTGAATATTTTGCGAGGTAGTCTTCCGGAGGTTTCCCTCCCGCCCCTCTGCTTTTAAGTGTACCTGGCTGTCACCAGCCTGCTAGCTGGGATTGTGCATGCACGTGTACCGCTCTAGAACACTGCAGGACCCTAACTACGGTGTCGGATTACAATCCGAGCTCCATCTCATGTTCCTAGGCCGAATAAATCAAGAGTTCACTCCAACCACACAAGTCAACAGAAGGGTACAAAGCAATCAGTTATCATGACTAGTGGATTCTAAAGAGGCAGTGGGCAGCCTCTGCATTTAGCTTTAGAACATACGGTTTTTAGCTGTCCTCTTACCACAGGGGTTATTAAGACACAGCCATGCCTTGGCATCCATGGGCACTGATTCCAGGACCACCTGCGAATACCCAAATCAATGGATTCCCAAGCCTCCTGCTTCAAATGGCTTAGTAATTGTGAGCAACCTATGCATATCTTTCTGCATACTTTAAATAATTTTAGGATTGCTTGCACCCTCTGATACAATGTAAACTTGATGCAAGCAGCCATTGTACTGCAGTACTTAGGGAAGTATGCCGAGAGCTGTCTAGGGACGCATAAACTGTTCAGTCCAGGAGCACATAGTTTTATGAACATTTTCTATTCTCTTTGGTTGACTCTGCTGATGCAGGTTTCAGATGTAGAAGGGTAATCATGTTAGCCGGCATCAGGGATTTGCAATTGAGTTACATAAAGATATCAAAAATGCCAGGGAGTGGTGGCACACGCCTTTAATCCCAGCACTCAGGAAGCAGATGCAGACAGATCTCTGTGAGTTCAAGGCCAGCCTGGTCTACAGAGTGAGTTCCAGAGAAACCCTGCCTTGAAAAACAAATGAACAAAAAAAAAAAGGAAGGAAGGAAGGAAGGAAGAAAAGAAAAGAACAGAAAAGAAAAGAAAAGAAAAGAAAAGAAAAGAAAAGAAAAGAGAAATGGATATTTGACAGTTGCCTCACTGTGTATGTCTAGTGTCCGGTGTTACATGAGGATATGCAGGGGAGGGTCGCTTAAAGAGTGGAGGAATCTGTACCCACAATGCTATTTTAGGAACTATTGTTGAAACCCACGAATGCCAGAGTGACCCCAGTTAGGTTGATTGGCATCTGAAGTACAAATATAACTCAATTCAAAAAGAACATGGAAAAGGAATTTGAGGGAGAGTAAGACACGAACAAACATCATTATTGTTCCTCTATTTAAAATGTAGGAAAAGAAATGGCTACATTGCTTCTTCAGACACGGCAAAAGCTAAGAATGTTCATGGACTGTATTTTTCTGAAATACAAGCCTTGTTTTTTCTTTTCTTTTAAAAGCAAATATAAACCATTTCCTCTGGGGAAATGTTGGCAAAGGTGCAAAACCTAAAATTGCAATAAAGATTGCAAAGAAATGCTTTAGGAACTAATCTCAGCATGCTTGAGGACCTGGGTTCCATCCTTAGCTTGAGGGCTGGGGGAGTGGGGAGAGAAGCTACGAAAGAGGATGAGAGAGGAGAGGGGACAGGAGAGGAGCGGAGGGGAGGAAAGATGCTTTAGAGAGAAACTTCCACCAGAGAGTAAATCACATTGACCACAGGATTTATCCCTCACCAGAGGCAGTCTGGGGGCACCAGGTGTCACGTTTAACCCGTAGAATTTAGGACTGACCCTGTGGGTGGCAGGAAGGAAGAGGAGTGCCCTTGGCATTCAGCGAAGGATGGGCTTTGAACTATGGCCAGCACAGAGGTTGAATTCTTAGACGGCTCCACCACAGGGCTGTGTGGCGAAAACGGGGATTTCCAATTTCAAAAATAGCACAACTTCAGTTAGGTTTGAGATCGCCTTTTTGGGAAGTTTGTTATATTTAGGTTCACTGCCCCCAGCCCTATCATGGCTTCTAAAGCCCATCTGCAGCTTTGCACAAGTCCCAAAATTTTAATGACCTCATTTATGCCAAGGTTCAGTTTAAGTGAGATGTTTTCCTAAACGTTATGTATAAAGCAAGCCATGGCATTGACAAAAATATATTTTTACCAATGTGGTCAAAGGGGAAAAATGACTGAGGATTTTGCTCTTCTTCAGGCTTCTCTCTACTTTTCAAATTGCATGTATGGCGGTTTGTGTAAAGGGGAGATCGCAGCTGCGATCCGCGGGTCTGGACTGTTCTTCTGGCTTAGTTGTAGACGCTGAGAAGGCTCAGCCTAGAGCCAGTTAGCTTCAGAGCTTTCCGCTTAATGAATGTTGGCTACACAGATTGCAAAAATAGAATCAGAAAAAATTAAATCCTATAACCAGCATTTTTTTTTCTTGAAACGTCAAGATCCGCACCAAGTTTGGATGGGGGTGAGTCTCTTTAAATTACAAGAGTCCCACAAGGAGAGGACAATTTCCAAAGATTGGACTTTGTCTGGAATTGTGATGATGGCTGCCTCCCAGGCCAGCATTCCTTGTTGTCTTTGCTTAGTGTAGTCCCTGGAGGGGCAGTGAGATCATGCATCATGCTCGGTTAGTTTCAGATTTAGAGAGACACATAGTCTGTCTAAGGCAGTGGCCATTTTACCCTTGCCTCCCTGAAAAATTATTGGTTGTTTTATTTTATTTTGTTACTTATTTATATCTTTATGCTTTTGATACCAAGTCTTGCCATGTAGCTCTGACTGGCCTGGTAATCTCTATGTTGCTAAGGATATAACTTCTGGGGCTACAGGCATAAGCCCTTTATGTTTGTCTTCTGAAAATGACTTTCAGGACACCCTTACTATGCTCTAGACCCCGCTCTTTGCAACATATGGAACAGGGCCAGGGCCAAGACGGAAACTTCCTCCCTCATTGCGTTTGTCAAAGAAGAATCTGTGCTACCATTCCAAACCAGAAGAAAGAAAGCGAAGCCTTACTTTCTTAGCTGCTGGTTGAAGTTTTGCAGTAAGATTTTCAAATATCTCCTTAACTTCTGGGCTTGAAACGACCCGATTTCTGTTTGGATACAACTTCTTCCTCGTGTCTACAGCATGCTGCAATTTTATTTGTTCTGCTTTCTTTGTTTTTGTTTGTCGAGACAGGGTTTCTCTATGTTACAGTACTAGCTGTCTTGGAACTAGCTCTTATAAAACAGGCTGGCCTCGAACATACAGAGATCTGCCTGCTTCTACCTCCCGAGTGCTGGGATTAAAGGCATGTGCCACCATCATCTGGCAGCATGTTGCAATTTTATTGGCCCCCTCTCCCTGATGCCAGTTTACCAATCATGTGGTCACATAAGCAGGAACAGATCAAGTGGAAAACCTTCCTGGGTAAATCTCAGATCCCTTTCCTTCCCCAGGGGTGAGAACTGAGCTACAGCCAGGGCCTGAGCAATCATTGAGCCTGCACATCTCAGACGAGAACTTGGACTGCTCTCAAGTGGAAAGACCTCCCCTCCCACCCAGTCTTCTCTTCCATGGATCTTCCCATTCCTTTCCAAGATGGTGACCAGCATGTCCATTAAGGTGCCTTGGGGACAGAAGGGATGGAAGGGAACCTAGGTGTGTTCTAATGAAGCCCCACAAATCCTTGCCATTTGTCCAAGGTAGTGGCTATAGAGGGAAAGTTGGTCCCCACAGAAATCTGTTCAGGGTGTCTCACTTCTCTCCATTCAGAGTGTCTGCAGATGGTGACTGACGGGAGGCGGGTGAGGCTTTTGCTGAAGCTTGACCCCACACCTACACCCACACACTTTTTTTTTTTTTATCTCATCAGCTTTATCGTGAGTCAAAATGAACTTGGGTTTTGCTTTTGCCTGGAGTGCCTCCTGTCACAAGCATGCAGAAATTCGTGATGGAGATAAGGGCAGGAAACTGGAGCAGTGTGGAGAACTATGCATGCAGCCTAGAAGTGGAGGGGGCACCTCAGGCACAGGACTGTCCAGGAGGTCTTGGTTCCCTGGGACTGGGATGGAGACTGGAAACCTGAGAAAGTGGAGGAGCGGTGGGGCCGAGGACAAGCACTCGTGGGTCTTCTTGGCGAGTCACTTCACTTTTCCTGTATCAGGTTTGTTTCTTCAAACATTGGAAATGAACTCCTGCAGAGCAACTCACTGCCTCTTTGGCCCCTTGCAACATTACATCGTCCAATAAGACGGTTCTTATCAAGTCTTTCATCAACCCCAGAACACTCTAGAAAGGAAGAGGGGTTTCATAATGGGAATGGGAACAGGAAAGGAGAAGTCAGGGGCCTAGCCTGTGAGAGGCAGCAGTGTGGAGTGGTTGACCGTAGCTCAGCTGTACACAAGTCCCCTTAACTCTGGACCTATCTCTATCATCAGTATAAATGAGGATGATGCAGGGCTTGCTGCGTTGGCGCTGTTGAAATATTTATGCTAAACTGACATAACCAGAAAGGGGTATTTGGTTGCCTAGGGCTGGAGTTACAGGCAGCTGTGAACCGCTTGATGTGGCTGCTGGGAGTCAAACTCCAGTTGTCTGAAGAGCATCAAGCATTCTTATCCTCTGAGCTGTCTCTCTAGCCCCTCTTCACAGATTATGGTATTAATTTTTATTTTAAAATAAGCACATAAAGAACATTCTTCTAGATTACTGAACTTTGAGTGACCTTTTTCAATTCTGAGCAAATGACAAGCATTTCATCAGCCTCATTCTTGTCTTGGGCCTACTCAAAACAAGCAGACTTATTTAGGCCTTGAAGCCAATAGTCCCACAACATGAATTACAGTAGTTCCTTACAGAAAGCTCAGCTCTGTCTTTTTTTTTTTTTTTTTTTGGTTTTCAAGACAGGGTTTCTCTGTGGTTTTGGAGCCTGTCCTGGAACTAGCTCTTGTAGACCAGGCTGGTCTCGAACTCACAGAGATCCCCCTGCCTCTGCCTCCCGAGTGCTGGGATTAAAGGCGTGCGCCACCACCGCCCGGCTCAGCTCTGTCTTTAAAAAAAAAAAATAGCGGTAATAAGAGAAGGGAAATGTGTCTCTTTTTCTAGTGACTGTGGAAAAAAGCGTTTGAGAACTCCTGGTGTCCCCTTTCTTGGCACAGATATGTCATAAAGACAGAATGTAGGTCTGTTCGACCATGGAGGGAAAACAATGTATACACTGAACATAAGCCATATTCTAGGAGGCAGGAGGGGACTTGGAGAGAGAACATGGGCTGTCTGTGGGCATGCACAGGAGGGATATATCAGTCTTTTCATTCCTAAGATCAAATACCTTACAAAAACAAATTAAGGGAAGAAAGATTTTCCTTGGTTGTTTATGGTTTCAGGGGCTTCAGTGTGCCGTGGTAGGAAGGGGAGTCACAGAGAACAGCTCGCATCATGGCGGCCAAGAAGCAGAAACCGGAAGCTAGAACTCTCCTGACCTCCTCCTTTTTCCCTTTATCTCCATTTCATACTCGGCTAGCTCACACTGAATGGGAGTCCTCCCTCTTTCTGGAAATGTCCTCATGGGCACATGCATGAGTGCGCCTCGATCTCTTAGGGAATACAAACTGACAATGAGAGACTGAAGTTTAACTGTGGCAGGGTGGTGGCCAGGAGCTCTGCCAGCTTCATGCCGACTTGGTCAAATACAGGCTTCTTTCTTTCTTTTCTTTCTTTTATTCCTTCCTTCCTTCCTTCCTTCCTTCCTTCCTTCCTTCCTTCCTTCCTTCCTTCCTTCCTTCCTTCCTTTTTTGCTTTTTTTCTGTTTTGGTTTTTTGAGACAGGGTTTCTCTGTAACTTTGGAGCCTATCCTAGAACTCAATCTGTAGACCAGGCTGGCCTTGAACTCACGGAGATCCTCCCGAGCGAGAGCTGGGATTAAAAGCACGCACCACCACTGCCCGGCAGGATAGAGGTTTCCAATAAGGAAAGGTTTATTTGCGCAGAACAGCAGACATCCAGCAGTTCCTGTTTTGTCAGGAGGAAGGGAGAGGAGGACTGAGGGGGCTGCAATGCTGGACTAAGAGGAGCAGGAATGAGTGTGTGTGATAGACAAAACCGTGCTTGGCCTTCGGGGCTCTCATAGACCCGTCTGGGCCTCCACAGAAAGGCAGCACTGTACACGTCTGGGAGCCAAATAACCACTTTCAAAGACACTCTAGCAACTGACTGCTATAAAGCAAATAGGCTCCGATTGGCCAGGTCTTAGGAAGTCTTGGCTTCATGGGATCATGTCTATTTTCAAGACAGGCCTCACCATTCACGTGTAAAATGACAGACAACTGTGTTGTCAAAACTGTTTGCCAGTGTTCACGTTCCAGTTCTACCCTCCGACTGTGCTTCTTGCCAGGGCCCTGCCCTTGCTTTCCGGCAAACTCCTGGGCTCCTGCGCCACTACGCCCCAATGTGAGCAGCGCTTTGCGGCTCTGCAGGGAGCACAAAGGGCTTCATTGTGGGGCGGTTTCACATGCATCCCTTGCTTTTCATTTTCCCTACAACACCGTGGGAGGAGAAAAGCACGTAGTCATTTCTTTCATGGATGAAAAGACAAGCCCATACAGTGGTTCAGTGGTTTGCCTAACATCACTCAGCTCCTTAAGGCGAACATACCAGAGGCAGGTTTTCTTAGTTAGTGCTCATTCTGGAGTCGCCTCTAGGAGGTGACATAATGGAAAAGTATGTCCGCATAGGCACTTGCTGCCCCCGAGAGCGCTCCTTCATTCATGCTTTTACCACAGTACTCTTGATGTTCTGGGACCTCCCTCAGGCAGCCTGGGGAAAGGCCCCCCAGCCATACATCAATGACCAGAGACCACTAAGCTTTCTTATATACCTTTATTTCCATCTTTAGTTCAGAGAAGTAGAAACACCTAGACTACCCCACCATTAACCACCAAGTAAATAGCTAATTGAGCTCTGTGGTCTTCTCCTGATTCCTTCTCCACTGGAGGGATACAGCAGAGGGAAATCTCCAATGTATACAATGCCATCTACAAAGATCTTCACTAACTGAGAAATGATTCAAAGCCAATGACATAATCTTTATGTCATGCCGCTAGGTGCTGGAAGTGCATGGAAAATACAAGACTCTGCCGTCTGGGCGCTCTCTACAAAGAGGGAGACAGACTCCTACCTGGAGATCTCGGCTTTTTCACACTGGCTAGAGAAGAAACAGTTGTGCAGTTGTGCAGTACAGTAGGAAGAGAGAAAAAAGGGGTGCTTCAATGCTCTTGAGAGCACAGTGCAAATAAATTCCCTGAGCACTACACCACAGCTCAAAGACAGAGACTCTGAGTGTGTGTGTGTGTGTGTGCGCACGTGTNGAGAGAGAGAGAGAGAGAGAGAGAGAGAGAGAGAGAGAGAGAGAGGTCTGAAGTAAACTTATATGTGAAAAATTCCTATTTTCATATTTTAGAATTGTTTGGGCCTTCGGAGTCATTCGTGGTTTTGCAGCCAGTTTGTCCACAGATTAAGCAATTCTATCTTACTTTATGTTTCTGGGCAGCACTGCAATCTGCCTTATAATCACAGTGACACCGCTTTTTAGGTACCCTCTCTATGTGCTAGGTATTCTGGGCACTAAGATAAGTTTAATGAACAAAATAGAAAAAGTTGGCTTCTCGTGGAGTGCAGTATGCTGACTGTGTTTCTCAAATGGTGTGCTTTTCTCAGACAGTGGTTCCCTACCTTCCCTTCAGATTCACCGCTGAAGCTTTCAAAAATTCTGAAGTCTGGCTTACCCACATCAACTTCAGCACCTCCCTGGGAGGTTTATAGCTTTTTTAATTTTTTTTTTTATTTTTTGAGTTCCCCAGGTAATTCTGAGGGACTTAATAAGGACTGAGAACCACTGCCCAGAATTTCTGATGTACTAGGGAGGCATGGGACCTCCTCCCTCCCTCCTGTCACCCTTCTGAAGCCATTTGCACAATTCACAGATGGAAAAACCTCAGAAGACCGGGAGACTGCAAGTGACACATTCAGGTAAGTGGCCCTTGCAGCCGGTCACCAGGCCAGAACTTGAAACTGGTTCCTCTGGTTCTAAAGTCTAGTGTGGTTTTCACCCTGTTTCAAAAAAGGTAAGATGACTGAATGTTTTCACTGCTTATGGGAAAGTCTTAGGGGCTCCTCTGGGGAGTGAGAAAATTGTTTGCACACCTTTTGTCACTTCTTGTCATTCCTTGAAGACTTTAGCACCTGGATCAACTTTTATCTTTATAAACTAACGTGAATAATTAGAGGCCTATTCAATAAGGAGATCATTGGTTAGCTCTTTCTTCTTTGCTTGCTTGCTGTTTTGCTTTTGAGACAGGGTTTCACCACGAAGCCTTGGCTGGTCTCCAACTCAGAGATCTGCCCGTCTCTGTCTCTAAAATGCTGATACCAAGGGTGTGTGCTACCATGCTGACCCAACAGTTCTCTTTTCGGCATTTCATTGCCAATATCTTTCTCCTACACACCATGCCGGCCATCCACTCTGCCTCATGGACACCGCAGCTCTTCCTGGTTTATCCTGACACATCTCAAAGGGGAAATCCTCATTCAGGCTCTATGCTTGTGGCGAATAGGATTCTCCAGTCCACTTAATGCCGCCCTCTGCCGTCTTCCTTCCTGTCTCACCATTATTATCCTGGAGGCTATCATTTTCATCATTTCAAGGACAGGATTTGTAAGGCTCCTGGCCACCTTGCGAATACACTATTCTATAAACATCAGTCCTCATAACAGCTTCGGATGTTTTCCCTTCATTTTTCTTCCCAGTCGTTCCGAGAATCAAATCCATGGCCTGTGCAATCCAGGTAAGTATTCTACCGCTGAGCTATACGGCAAGTCTACACCTGTCATCATCAGTAGCTGGTACTCTATTTCGACATCCTGCTGTCTGGGTGACTCCTAAGCATCCTGCAGGCCCCAGTTGAATTACTTTGCAGGGTCTACCCAACCTCTCAGACTTAACGAGGGGAATCCCCTCATTACCTCTCAATCTGTTTCCTAAGTTGTCTTTCTGTATATATTTCTGGAAAGTGCTTTGTTCAACGTCTTACTCCACTGTTCAAGAGTAGCCATTTTGATTACTGTTGTATCCCTAGCTTTTGAAGCACCTCCTGGCACATAATGGATCCTTTGCAAATATGTAAATTAATTCCTCTCACTCTTTCAGTCAAGACGGGGGTCTCTTTATATAGACCAGGCTGGCCTCAAACTCACAGAGAGACACCTAAAAAGGAATTTTGTTAATACGTCCAGTGTACCTTAAGGTTACTGAGTAACAACCATAATTTGATAATAGTTTGACCTGACGCAGTTTTCCACCACTAGTAAGGTTTGCAGTTGAGCAAGCCATCAGAGGCAGAATTTGTTCTGCAGAGGACCCTAGAGCTCAGTTACATTGCACATGGCTATCAGTTGTGGACCCCAGAGGCCATGGTGCATCATTGAACAGGACAGAGGACCACACATTGAAGCAAGGATCCTGCCAGGGTCTACTGTCAGCCAAGAGACGGCAACTCCAGTTCTTCTACTGTTGAGGCCAAAGGTCACCTGGCTTAATATGGCAGTTCTTTGGTTGAGTATTAAGTGGATCTTCTTAAATGTCCCTTTAAAAGTTTTTATTACATAAAATGCTTATTAGCAGAGAAGGAAGGGCTTTTGAAATTTCGAGAGTGTTCAACTTTCCCCGAAAATTGCTGTCTTCTGGCAGGGCTCCCAGTTTGCCTCACACATGCATTAAGAGAATTATTCCTTCCCTGGGGAGAAATTCAGATCCCCAGAAACTCCATGCTTTTGCTGACTCTGCTAGTGTTTACTTAGGTTAGGGGTGAGAAGACAGGACTAGTCACCTGGAGAATGGAGAAACGCATCCCTTGGTCCATTTCCAAAGCTCAGAGCAGCCATGACTGCTTCTTCATAGCTTTACTGAAAGCAAGGAGATAAAGGACTTGGCAAAACTGGGGTAATGGCCACCAAGGTGAACTTGGTACCCACCAGGGGCAATGCAGGGCACACTTCTGTCACACAGGAGCGTGCAACAGAGTACATAGCTGGCTGGATGACCTGTAGCTCTCCTGTTTCCACGTAGCCTATGGAACACCGGTTTCCACCACAAACTAAGGGTGATCTTGACCCGTTTCCTATAGATCTAATGAAGAAGAAGGGAAAAGAGTTTGGGTCTTCACAGTGTCACACACTCACATATGCAGACACATGCATGTGCATGCACACACACACACATACTCCCTAGAACCAGCCGATTACAGCTTTATAGAAATATCTAAGCCAAGAGGCATTTTATGATCTAGATTATGGTTTGTTTACTGGAAGAACCGCAGGACACATACACACACCTACTGAAGAACACGTGGGTGTCTCTGCTGGGATCCACTGCCTAGCTCCGACTTATTGCATTACCCATACATCTAACCACGCACAGGAAAAAAAGTGGGACTATTCAATCCACATGCCAGTGTTAGGGACGGAGGTGTGGGCAGCCCGGGTCGTCTTTGAAGGTAGAGCTAATGGAGCCCCTGTCTGTCTCAAACACTCCTGTTTACCTGCCGTTCCTAAATGCACAGCAGCTTCTGCTAGCTCCACGAAGAAGTTCAGATAAAAAAGGGCCGGCAATCCATTTGAAGTCTTTTCATAGAAGGCCTGTTTACTTTTGATAAGGAAACCAGCTGCGGGGAAGACTAGCCTACTGTTTGGGTTGTTAGTCTTTACTGAACCATGAATTCCCCTGGACCGAGGCCTATGCTGAAATCCCTCACTCCTTAAATAAATAAACACATAAATACAAGCTTTTGGCTAGTACCTAATCAAAACACATACAGGCAAATCAGGCTTAGTGCGTAGTCTGGAAACTCCCAGCTTCCCAATGTCAATAAGACAGTCATTGAGTCCCCACTCAGTTGAAGCACATACATAAAATCCCCCCATCTTAACCAATAACAAATGGCAGGGGCTTTGCTTTCTCCAGGCCCTTTGATGGCTCAGCGGCTAATGCTGGAATTAGTGAGGGAAACCTGACTAATCTGAAAAGTTTTCGTTTGTTTTATTCCACTTGGAAAGACAGTGCAATGAAGGAGTGAAAGGCCCTAAACAGATATTCAGGCCAAACAAAACAAAAACAAACAAAACAAAAAACCAAAAAAAAAAAAAAACCTAGGTGACAAACGATCTTTTTGGCACAGGGATTTGCCATTCTTGCCTTCTGTGCTTCTTTCAAAAAAACTGTGTGGTCCTATAATTTTGGGTTTATTTGAATAAGTCTGGGCTGATAACATTAAATGTAGGAATAATTCCTTTCTTGGTTTTCTTTAAAAATGTTTTTATTAAAAATGCCTATCTGTGTTTGGGGGTGATATGTGTTTGGGGGGTAAAGGTCAGACAGTAGCATGTTACATTTGATTCTTTCCTTTCATCATGTAGGTCCTGGAGACCAAACTCAGATAATCAGGCTTGGCAGCAAGTACCATTATCCACCGGGCAATTTTGCTAACCCTCAGCTTTCACTGAATCAAATTACTATATGTCCCTAGCTCATTTTTACTCCAAAACCCAAACCATGAAATGAAAAATGTCCAAAAGATTATAGCTAGGGACACGCCTTCTACATTTTCAGTTCAGGTTCTAATCCAACACAGGTGCTCACTTAAGTCTTGGGGTTCATCTAGTTTTCTTCCAAAGAACACAGTTCTGTAAATAGAGTCTCTACTTTGGTTTCCTGGTTGCCCGGACCTGAATAATTGCACAGAAACTATATTAATTACAACACCGTTTGGCCAATAGCTCAGGCATATTTCTAGCTAGCTCTTACATCTTAAATTAACATATTTCTATACATCTGTGTACTGCCACAAGGCTGTGGCTTACCAATAAGGTTCTGACGTCTTTCTCCTTGGCAGCTACAAGGCATCTGCCTAACTCTGTCTTCTTTCTCCCTGCATTCAATTTAGTTTTCCTACCTAGCTCTATTCTGCCCTGCCATAGATCAAAGCAGCTTCTTTATTAACCAGTGGTAATAAAACATATTCGCGGCATGAATCACTGTTTAGTGGTCCTCTGCTGAGAACACTCTCAATCTTCCCAAGGACATTTGCCAAAGTCTGGAAACAGGTTTGGTTGTTGAGAATGGAGCTGGGGGTAATTGGCGGTCAGCTGGGGTCAGGGATGCTTCTGACCTCTTCCAGGGAATGATCAGAGACGCAACTGTCCTCAAATGTCAATAATGTGGAGAATGAGAAACACAGATATGCTGAGTGCCCTTAGCTAGCTACAGAAGTTTCTGTGGATGAACACACTCCCCAGGAAGACAGCAAGTAATAGTGATTATTTATTGTTCTTCCTGTTCCAGGTACTTGACGCAGCACATTCTGTTTTCAATCAGCAGACTTTAAGCTTTGAAACCTTTTACAATTACAAGAAGACCTGAGTGAAAAATAGAAAGTTCTCAAGTTCCTTTCCCACCCCCAGGTCTGTGATTATGAGCTGCTGTCAGCAGTGGGACACACTGCTACACCAGAGAAGAAAGCAGTAATACATTATTTTCAAGTCCACAGTTTACAGTAGAGTTCAGTGTTTGTGTTCTTTAATTCTATGGGTGTCCATCATTATAGAACCTCAAACAATAGCTTCATTATCCTCTAAATCCTGTATGCTAGATACACCCATTCTCATTTTTCCTTCTCCCTCCATCCTTGGCATCTTGTGAGCCTCTCCATAGTTTTATCTCTTTCTCATACACAAAAGCTTTTCAAGTTGGCTTCTTTGACAAGACGGTATGCTTTTAAGCTCCTTCCATCACAATTTCTTGTCTTGAGATTTCTTTGCTTTTAGCACCAACTCCTATTCTAGAATAGGCACAGGCTGCAGTCTGTTTAGCTGTTCGTCTGTGGAAGGACACCTTGCTTGTCTCTAAGTTTTGGCAACTGTGAACGAAACTACGCTAAAGATTGTGTGCAGACTTGGGGGCCGATAACAGTGCACAGGTCATTTGGAAAAAGAGCAAGAGCATGATGGTTGACTCTATGGGAAGAGTTCTGCTAGTGGCTGCCACATGGCCTTCCGGAGAACTTTTGCACTGTTTGCTTTCTTATCTTATCAGCAGTGAATGAACATGCCTGTAGCTTCACATTCTCTCCAACCTTGTGTTGCTTTAGTGGGTGTCAAGTAGATGTCAATGTTTTTTTTTTTAATTTGCCATTTTGTGATGGCATAAAATTTGATAATTTTTAATATCTATTATCTATTTGTAATTTTAAAAGTGTGTGTGTGTGTGTGTGTGTGTGTGTGTGTGTGAGAGAGAGAGAGAGAGAGAGAGAAATAATCATGGGAGTGTAGGTACCTGCAGAGGTGTCAAATCCCCTGGAGCTGGAGTTGCAGGTGGTTCTGAGCCACCTGACTGGGGACTGGTGACTGAGCTCAGGTCCTCTTCAAAAGCGCTTTTAACCACAGAGCCACCTCTCCAGCCCCAATCTGAACACGGTTCTCATTCCCATCTGTCAGCTCCCTAGTCTCGGGTGAAGTGTCTAAATCTTTTGTTCCTTTTAGTTTTAAGTAGCTCGCTAAATAACTGTTCAGTTTTGTAAAAGACAAACTGTCACTGTTGTGTCGCTGGGTCCTCCAGCCTCAAGCCCCTGAGCCCCTGAGAGTGCAGGTGTAAACCACCATGCCTGGTTTGACACTGTTCTTATTGTATAGTCTTGTGTTCTTTGAGCGTCTGTGACAGCAATCTTTTATTGGAGAAGTGTCTCCTTGTCCCCGCCTGTAGATTTTTTTCTTTTTATTTTGGTCACAGTATTTTTTTTTTTAGAGAGTAACAGTTTTATTTAGCAATGCCCAACTTGTTAACATTTTCTCTTAAGGATCGCACTATTTCTGTTACACCATACCATTGCCAAACTGAAGGCCTCTGAGATGTTTTCCTCTTATGTTTTCCTGCAAGATTTTAGCAGTTCTATGTTTCATGTTTAGATCTACGATCTATGTTTTGACAAGTGTAGGCTCTGTCTCTACCTTCACACCTCAAGAATACTTGCAAGAGCGTGGAGGTAAGGAATTCTACCCAGCAGCAAAGTAAAACACACTTCTGTCCTTCCTTGCTTTGAGGACCATAATTCTTAGAAGACTGCCTTTCTTTCCATCTTGACAGACTAGCGATGGAAGGACAGCTAAGACAGTCCTCACAATCTACTCACTGGGTGAAAAGAACATGAAGAGATGGCCCCTGTCAAGTCTATTTCTTCTATTGAGAAAGAGATCAAAGCCCTCTGCCTCAGACTTCCCTTTATACATAGATGGCTAAGGTCATATAACCGGCTACCTTTAAATATTTCGTACTTTCATTGTAGAGGCTTTCAAGAGAATGGTGGCTGGGGAAAGTATTGAAAATCACCAGTGTGTGGTGGTACATCCCTCCGAGTTCAAGGTCAATTTGGTCTATGTAATAACTTCCAGGTGACATGGGGAGGAAAGATCAAAAGAACCAGAGGTCAGAAAAGACCGGAGCCAAGCAAAATCTTCCAGACTTGACAAAATTCCTATACTCATGAACTCAGCAGCAGTGGTTACCTAACACAAGATCAAGCCAGTCAACATTTTAACATGAAGTTGGGAAGGGCTCAAGAACCCCAACCCCTGGCCAAAAGGTTATTGACAGTTGGTGGTTTCTTGGGGAGGGAGAATCAGTTTTCTTGAAGGGTGTGGCCTAGATAGGTTGACCGTGCTTTAGCGAAGAGCCCCACACCCATAAATATATGAGCAGAACAAATAGGAATCAGTGGGTTATATTTTTAAAGTAGAGGTTACTTTAAAACCTCTCAGAAAGAGTTAAAGTAAGGCACATATCTGCAATGAGTTGGAGGAGGGATGAGGGTGGACATGATTCAAATGCATTGCACGCATGCTGTTTTATAATTTATAATTAAATAATAAAATATATTTTAACAAATGCCTCTCTTATGGATTTGTAATCTATAAGAGCCCTTCTGCCTTTGTGTTATCACTTGCCCAACTTCCTCTTGTGTATAAAACTACCAGCAAATGCTTGCTTGGCCCTGTCCCTTGCAGAGGTCCCCAATTCTGTCCTTTGATGGTTATCAGCATATTTTCTCGGTATTATATAAATTCAGAGACCACTAGAATTGTCACAGAGACTCAAGTAAAGAGGCTCTGTTAGTAAGATGGGCAGTGTTACTTTACAAAAAGAAACTTCCATCAGCCTTCTCAAAGCCTAGCATGTTCATGTAGTAGTCATGTACTCCAGTGAATCTCTAAGCCCTACTTACATGGTGCCAGGGAACAAATCAAGAACAAGGGAAAGGAGTTGGAGCTACATCTCAACAGGTTGAATGACTGTCTATAGAAACGCTGGGCTTCATTCCCAAGATCACACATCACAGCCGTGGCAATGCAGGTTTGTAATCCTCACGCTCAGGAGGTGAAAGCAAAGAATTAGAAATCCAAGGCCATCCTCAGCTACACGGTGAGTTTGAGGCTAGCCTGGGCTACATGAGATGCTGTGTGAGAAAAGAAAAAGAGAGAGGGGGGAAGAGGAGCGGGGATGAGAGAATAGGTGCTGGGCTACTACCTTATACACCACAGCTGGTTTTCCCTTTGTGTATGGGTGTCCTCAATACTCATTAGGAGACACTCCGAAAACTGTGTTCGCAATCATTTCCACTCAAGCGCTCATACCTTTTCACGTTCTCTCAGGCAGTTCATAGCACTCAGTGTTCACAACATCAGCAGTTCCCAGTGTTACTGAGTTATTAGAATACAAGTGACCTTTTACTGAACCAGGGAAGTCTTGACTGGACCATTTTAAATTCAGTGTGAAACCAACACTTGCATATAGCAAATGGGAGGGGGTAGGGAAGAAATGAACCGTGGTGGGGGGTGATATGGCCAAGTAGAAGTTTTCTTAAAATCTCAGCACACATAGTGTGGCTCTCAGGAAGCTGCTTACCTTCCAACTCCTGCTAAGAAAGTAGAGGAAGTCGGGGCAACCATCAGGACTCAGGTGATGCTCTGGGGGGTCAATCATGATGTTGCTGAAGTTAACATGTCTTCCTTGGTGAGGTAAAACTTCTAGTTATCCTAAGAAACACACACGTTTTTGGATATGTTTCAGGCAAATTTCAAAGAGTCTGGATGTTGGTAGATTGTGGCAGGCTGACAAGAAAGGAAGCTTGACAAATTTGATCCTGTGCCCTCAGGGCCTGCCCAGAAAGATTCCCTAAAGAGGAAATGAATTCAAATGAGAACTGACTGCCACAGGAAAGAAGGCAGGATGGAGACAGTTTGGCTCTGCATCCTTGTTCCCCTCCCATCTTCCATGCCAGTCCTCCAGCCCCTGGGGGGGGTGGAAGTGGGAGGGGGGATTGGGGGTTTGGGGAGTGGAGGTGGGGGTGGGGGACCGTTCAGTAGCAGGAAGGTGTTTCCCCAGAACACATGTGCGGTGAAGGTGCCAAAAGCAGCTTCAGCCATCAATCCTCCCTTTCCTTCACATTCCCAAGCCACTTATTCCTGTGCTCGACCCAGTGGGAGGGCTGGTGCTTTCTGAAGAAAGCCAGGGGAGGTAGGGAGGTGGGCTGAAGCAAGCTCAGAGCGGCTCGCTCTACAAAGGTGGAGGGTGTTTCACCTGCATCACACTAAGTAAGAGTGACCCAGCTAGACTACACAGTTCAGGTCCTTTCCCTTAGCTTCCACCAGTCACCATGTTCCCAACATTCAGAGGAAGTCTCCACTTACTCTGGATGCTGGATCAGACACAAGGGGAATTTGATGTAAACACAATGTACTTTCACTATAGAATTCACATGGTGGAGTCCAAGTTATAAATAACTAGATAATGGAAAGGCTTGTGATCCCCCGAGGTATAGTGGGGGGTCACAAGCCAGTCAGAGGGTCATCAATACTTTCTAGTGGGCAATAAGCATGAGCAAGTATAAGGGTCACTCCTTAATAACAAACAAACAATTGGGGTGTGGTGACACACACCTTCAATCCCAGCACTTGGGAGGCAGAGGCAAGCAGATCTCTGTGAATTTGAGGCCGGTCTGGCCTACAGAGTGAGTTTCAGTAGCCAGGGCTGTTACACAGAGAAACCCTGTCTTGAAAAGTCAAAAGAAGAAGAAGAAGAAAAAGAAAGAAGAAGAAGCAGAAGGAGAAGGAAAAGGAGGAGGAGGAGGAGGAGGAGGAGGAGGAGGAGGAGGAGGAGGAGGAGGAGGAGAAAAAGAACACACTGAATAAGACATCGGAAAACCAATCAACAAACAAATTTGTGTTACTTCAGGAAAATAAAATGGCAATGGAAAATTCCCTGCAGTTAAAAGGAATAAGATGATGAAGGCGGCCATTAAATAAGTTGCAGAAATTGGTCCGGTGGATGGAATAAACAGTATTCAAGTAATCTGCTCACATATCCAGCAGGAGAAGCTGAAACTAGTGGATATTTGAAATCATGTCTTTTTTTGTCTGAGACAGCATTGCTCCATGTAGCCCTGGCTGCCCTCTATAAACCAGGCTGGCCTTGACTTTAGAGCTCCGCCTTCCTCTGCCTCCTGAGTGCTGGGACTAAAGGCCTTTAA